TTGATATGTGGGGCTTAACGTCCAAAATCTACCATATGATTATAAGAGACGCCGTAGTGAAGGACTCCGGAAATTTTGTTCACCTGGGGTTCTTTAACGTGCACCGAAATCTGAGCACACGGGCCTATAGAATTTTCGCCTCCATTGAAAATGCAGCCGCCACAGCCGCGAATAAATCCCGCGACCCGTGAGTCAGCAGCCGAGTACCTTAGCCACTATACCAACACGGCAGGGCTGAAGAGCTCAAAGAAGAATCAAAGTATCTCACGGTAGTGCTCGAATGACTGCAAAAAGCTGGGGAGCTCGCAGTCATGCACATTTGACGGGCTCAAGAAAAACAGAAGTAGCACTTCGACAAGCACCACAAGGACGTAGTGCTTTAGAGAACAACTGATGCTCTTCAAGGTTCCAACGTACGACGTGAAAACGACTGCGTCAAGCACCGGTCATCACATGATAGTGAACAAACTGTCGCCCGTGCACTACAAGATCGAACTCGCGGACAACATGGGAAGTGAAATTGTGCACGTTGACAAATTGAGACTATATCTGAACCCCGTTGCTCACATACAGCAACCCAATGCTTCGGACTAAGGTGTACATGGGTGCCGTGAAAAGAAAATTGTTGTTGGTGCTTGTATATAGTTTTATGGGCCTGAAATTGGATAGACAATATTTTGGCAACTTAGTTACAGAATGGGCTGTTCAGGTTAGTTTAGTTATGTCTCCCTTTCTTCTATTTTAGTGTTTTGTGTTTGAAGTCAGGAGAATTAGTTTCCAAACTCGGACATGTGATAAGCGATAGCAGACAACGCTCGGTGCATGTCTCCCACCTTTGCTCGGGGAAAACGAAGTAAATCGGCACTGAGCCTGTCGGCGCTCGAGGAACGTCGAATAAAAATTTGGTCTGGCAGTCTTTTACTGATTTTAGAAGAGTGTGGATGTTCTTGTTAGGCCGCCTTGAAAACCTGTATATCCAATGGACACAACGGCACGTCACATGCCCCATAAAGAAAGCGACAGGATACCACTAAGTAAGGGTGTATGACAAAAAGATCCAATCTCCCCAATGCTACCTACCACATGCTTACGTGTTTTCAGCGCCTAGAATGGAAAAAGTTAGAGATGAGAGTCAAAGGAAGGTACCTTAGTAACCTGCACTTCGCCGATCACATAGCGTCGCTAATTACTCAGGGGACGCATTGCAGCTCATGATTACTGAGTTAGACAAGGAGAGCAAAAAGGTAAGTCTTTAAATCAATCAGCAGAAAACAAAAGTAATGTACAGCAAACTCGGAAGATAACAGCGGTTCGAGATATGTAATAGTGCACTTCAAGTTGTAAAAGGCTATGTCTACTTAGGGCAGGTAATAACCGCAGAGCCGAACAACGAGATAGAAGTAACTACACTGTAAGCAAAAACTATCCGAGTTTGGGGTTTTTCCGGCTCATGACCTCTGAAAACTCTCTCGGGTTTAAAATTATTACCTCGCGTAGGAGTAAAAGATGGTACATGACATAGTTTTACCACCACCTCTCAGGCAAGTAGTAAAAAGATGTCAAAATCCAGTTTTACCACTTAGGGAGTTTTCTATCACGTGATTTTTAACCTGCGTTTCAGAGTTTATTACCACGTGACTGCAAGGTGCAGCTGCTTCGGCAGCTTTTGCCCCATACCCCCCTTGTGACGCTCTCAGTGAATACTGAAGGTACGCGAAGCCCACAGATGGTTTTTTTTTTTTTGTCATCGCCGTGCCTCAGTACTGATCTCGAGTCAGCGCACTTTTACTGGAACTGGGGGCAGCATAAGCACAACAAGCGAGAACAGCATTCTTTGAACGAAAAAAAAAAGACGGGGGGGGGGGGGGGCTCTCAAAACACAAAAAAAAGAAAGAAAACCTGCTGTGGAAAGCTGTCCTGCATATTTTCGCAAAAGGTTGCTTTTGCTCGGCGCTGGCCTTGGAGACAGGCAGTGCAAGAAGCTCGGTATCTGTGTGTCTGGTTGGGCTGGTGGATCTCACGTGTTTCCTACATCACCTGCTCTTCCGAGCGCCTCCGAACCTGCACATCGCGGATATCTCACTTCCGAGCCGAATCGTGAAGATCTGCCAGTGGTAACAAAATCAATCTGGCGTCATCGTCCGTGCTTGCCTGCTGGAGAAGCAATAAGCAAAATGCTTCACTCTGTCGTCGTCACCGAGCTGTGGCCACCAGTGACCAGTGGGAGTGTGTCGCCGGGGCAGGTGAAAAAAGCATCGCATATATTTTGTTCCACAGTAGGCGATGTCTGCATGAGTAAAGTGCTGCCCGAATTGCCCACCTCATGCACCAACTGTTCTCAAACATGTAGCGCGAAGCCGATACGAGGCAGACGGAAACAACAAGAGGCTGCCCGTGAGTACGAAAAAAACCCGGATGGTGGTCTTTCGTTGGAAGTGTGCATACACCGCCCCGTCCCCGTAAGATAGCGGTGACGTGTTCATTTGTGTCTGAAATGACGACGAAATTCGCACAGGATATGTGTTCTGTGATCACCAGCTGTGTTTCATCGGATAGCCGTGCTCCTCAAAAAGGCCTAGAACGCCGTCGGTAAGCAGCTTGTATGCAGGCGTGGACCGCTCTTCTACGCCCGTTGTGATGAATACGTGCTGCTACTGTGTTTGTGCACCGTCGCTGAATGAAAATCATTGAGCTACCATGCTTTGTGCGTACTTAGGTATATTTTGTGGACTTGTGCATCAGCAGTGCTAACACGCGTGGGGCAAAGAGCCTGGTGTGCCAAGCAATTATTGGATAATCAAAAAGGTGAGATCGTGTAGATTTATAATAAAAGGTTGGTGTGACATTTAGTGCCCTGCAGCCTACTTGAAGCTTGCGCTTGCACCTTCAAGCGTTGTTGTTAATCGATGCAAAAAAAGAGCTCTCCTACCGGTACTACATTGCCGGTCAAAAAGTCGTGCCTATATATATACCGGATTGTCGAAGTGTAGTCGAGCAACGCGTGCAGTCTGTGCTAGTAGTGTATTATTCTGCATTGGTGGTGTATTGTGCGTGTGTATTATTCTGCGTGTGTATTATTCTGCGTGTTTGTCTGTATGTGAATGTATGTGTCACCAATTCTGCCGTTCAACAAATTCAATCAATTCTGCTATTCAATAAATTTGTCGACTCTGGGCGAATGCACCCGTCATTTTTATTTTTTTACCACCAGAAATAACTCCCAGTAATCACCTCAAAAACCTTGTGAAGGTAATAAAAATTTACTCTCTCTATACTCGCTGAAAACCTCACTGGGGTAAATAATTACTACTCTCGCTACGTTCAAAAACTCAGCACGAGAGTAAATTTTTACCTCGGTAGTAGGTGGTAAAAAAAACCCAGGAAAGGTAGTGCGCTAGAGGACAAATGGTTTAACCAGTTTTTGAGGTTATTTCAGGTCATTTTTGTTTAGTGTGTAGAAGAATAGGAATGGGGTGGAGCACATTCGGCAAGCACTCTCAAATTATGACAGGTAGATTGCCACTATCCCTCAAGAGAAGGGTATATACCAGCTGTATCTTGCCGGTACTTAGCTACGGAGCAGAAACCTGGAGACTTACAAACAGGTTTCAGCTTAAATTGAGGACGACGCAGCGAGCAATGGAAAGAAAAATGGTTGGTGTAACCTTTAGAGACAAGAAGAGAGCAGAGTGGATTAGGGGACAAACAGCGGTTAAAGATATCATAATTGAAATCACGAAGAAGAAATGGACATGGGCTAGGCATGTAGTGCGTAGACAGGATGACCACTGGTCATTAAGGGTAACAAACTGGATTCACAGAGAAGGGAAGTGGATTAGGGGGAGACAAAGGGTTAGGTGGGCAGATGAGATTAAGAAGTTTGCGGGTATAAATTGGCAGCAGCAAGCTCAAAACCGGGTTACTCGCGGAACATGAGAGAGGCCTTTGTCCTGCAGTGGACGTAGTCAGTCGGATGATGATGATGATGATGATGACCTAATTTTTGGAGAGGGAAAGCATGCTAAAGGGTGACAGAAAGTTAGGTGGGAAGATTAGATTAGGCACTTTGTGGGTATAAAGTGGCAGCAGCAACCACAGGACCGAGTTGACTGGCGGATTATGGGAGATGGCTTTGTCCGGCAGTGGGCGTAGTCAGGCTGATGATGATGATGATGACGTTCAGTCTTGCATCACATGCCAGCAAAACAAAACACCTCCGCGACATCTCACAGGCACGTTGCAGCCACTCCTGTGCCCGGCTCACCCATTTGACCACGTTGGTATCGACTTATACGGCCCCATCCTTATAGTAGCTGTGAAAACCAATGAAATATGGTTGGCGTCGATGATCTGACGCGTTACGATGAGACTGGAGCTCTTTTGGCAGCGACCGCCTATTGAAGTAGCTCTCTTCACTCTTGGCGGCATCATTCAATGCCATGGTGCTCCGCGCCATTTACTCATTGATAGGAGTCGCGTGTTTGTGTCAGACGTCATCGAAGCCCTTCTCGCTAAATGCAACATCATTCACCGGAAATTCACCGCCTACAAATAAGAGCCAAATGCTCCCACCAAAGGGTTCAACTGCACACTCGGTGATAGGCTCGGGATGTATACCTCCTCCGACCACACCAACTGTGCCACCTGTAGTTACATCCCCGAATTCTGCTATACGACCACCGCATTATTAGACACACGAATTCCCGCATAAGAAAAAAAGCTGCGGACCCTTTGCTATCAGCAAAAACGGTGAAGCGGGCATCGGCGCACCGTCGATTGCGTTACTAGATTGCAAGCTTATGTAGTTGGAGAAAACCTAATGATCTTTTGTCACGTGCATAAGTTGCGCGCGCGCATGCTTTCTTCGTCTTTCTTCTCTTTCTTTTCTATTTCGCTTTAAGGAAGCAACTAGTTCTTATTCGTCACTCATGTTTTCAAGCCTTTGTAGCTCGTCTTTTGCGGTGATCCTATATGAAAACATATCTTTTTCGTGCTTGCAGTGCCAGTCGACAGTGGTGGCCCTGGTGGCGTGTGGGCTGGCGCTGGCGAAAGGCTTCGCGAGGCATGGCGGTACCATCACTCCGCTTTACGCCTGCATGCTGTGCGCCTGCGGACTGACCTCCGCCAACGTAGCCAGCATGGTTCTCGGTGAGTAACTACTCGTCCGCGCTGCTCAACGCGGCTGTTTCCATACTATTTCAAGAAGCGAGCAACAATAAGCAGTTTTATTAGGTAACGTATTCCCAGAAACGAAAATCAAATCGAAAAGTGGAGCAGTGATCGGATTATGCTAGCTTGGTGATTGCCTCAGAATGCGCTGTGTCACAGACCCCCTTTTCTTTTCTGAGTGCCTGAAGCCATATACGACAGTTACGTAGTTTCCGTTGCGGCGAAACAAAACAACATGTTCAAGTCATGGTCAAGTGTGTCTGTATCGTGAGTCAGTACGAACTTGCTCGAATCTTGTGAAATCAAATGCTGGTAACCATCAGCAATTTTTTTTGAACGGCTAAAACTTTGCGCACATATTCACGCACATTGAGCATGTTTTCGGCTTGCCTCCTTCAATATACGCGGCTAGATTCAAGAAATACACCCAATGATGACCTTGAGCGATCGCGCTCATACATACAACCACGGAGGAAGAATAGACAGGAGGGGACACTCGGCTCCTTTCCGTGCCGCTATTGTGTCACTCTCCGGTGCGGTGGATAGATGAATGGATGGATGTATTCGGCTGTGACCTTTAGATCGGGCAGTGGCCCACGCTACCTAGCCATAAAGTTAGGCCCTATCACTGTGTGTTTTAGGATTGAATTTCACTCGCGTCTTGATTTTAGCCACCAATCAGTTGGCCTCCTCCTGGTTATTTCTACCCGTTTAAAATCTATTTTGGCTTCACTGTCCCTAAGCCCCAATGCTTTAGGAAAATCCGTGTCATTATATACGACTGTTGAATGGAGCCCTTTAAACAAAATTATCAAATGTTAAGCCGCTTTCTCCCCCTCTCCACACGCCCTACATAGTGTGTCTGGGCCTTCGTATTAGGCTTGGTACGTCTTGGTCCGCAATACTCTCGTTCTTGCCTCGAACAGTAGAAAACTACCCCGAGAAGTATTCTCTTCCCTTGCATTTTCCTGCTTAAAAGTTCAGTAGATCTCCATTAATAATTCTGTAAGCATCGCCATCTTCCACGTGTCCCTCTTTGTTTCCTTCACCTTCTTTGTAACCAATTCGGCTTGGTATTCTGCTTTTCTCTAAATAGTTCCTTGACAATTTTTGGGTTCACTTCTTCCATTTAGTATCAATATTCCTAATGTACTATTAGCTGAAAACTTTTCCAGCCTAAAGCTCGTCTCCCATTTTTCTCCATCGCTCATCAAATTCTATCTTGCTGCTAGCTTCCCTGCACTCAAACGATGTCCAATCCATGTCACCCTGTACCCCCTGATTTGGGGTATTTCTGTGTGCTCCCAAAGGAAGTATGACACATTGTTCAACTTCCAATCTTTCTTGAACCTCTGATTTCACTGACAAGACCACATTGCCGAACGTCAAACCCGGGACCATGGCACTTTTCGAAATCCTTCTCACAACGTCATACCTATTGTAGTTCCACAGTGCCTTATTTTTTATTACAGCTGCATTCCTGTTACCCTTAGTCATTACATATCTTTTGTGCTTCCTTAAGTACTTTGCCCCGTTATTTATCTATGGGCCCAAGTATTTGTATTTTTCCACTATTACTAGTGTGACTTCCTGTATCATATGCTCACTGCATTTGTTATCATTAAAAATTATGATTGCTGGTTTTCTCTGCTGAACCTCCAATTTAAACTATCTCCCTCATTACCACAGATATCTATCAATCCTTGCAGATCTTCCTTGTTGTTGGCTAATATTACTATATCATCTGCATACATCAATGCTGGTAATGACTGTTTATTGTATTTTTCTTGCTTGATAAAAGAGAGGCTGAAGCTGAGTCGACTCCCCTCTGATTTGGCGTCAAGCCTCTATAGATACAGCATAAATAACAAAGGTGACAAGGGACATTTCTGTTAAAGTTTGCGTTATATTTCTATGGTTCAGATACCTGTTCTTCCCATTTGATAAGTACCTTGTTACTTGTATAGAAATCCTTTAGAAGATTAGTTATGCCATCTTCCACATCTATTGCGCCAAGTATTCCCCACAAGTCTTCTTGAATCACACTATCGTAAGCTCCTGTGATATCTATATATTCCAGTCATAGGAGCCTTTGTTCTTTATCCACTATTATAAAACACTGCATCAATGAAAACTGATTGCCCTACAACCTCCTTTGTTTATGGAACCCATTCTGTAGTTCTCCCAGCGCCCCCTCATTCTCCACCCGTGTCTGTATTATTTCTTTACAGGCATCACGAGCCTGTAAACTACTGATGTAACTGTTATAGGCTGGTACTGGTTGATATCGGCTTTGCCCCCCTTTCCTTTATAGATCATGCTCATCCTGCTTAGTTTCTACCCAACGGGTGCTTTGCCATCTATTATCGCTGTGCTCGCTGCCTCTCTTAATGTTCGCTTAAGGTTTTGTTCTAGTTTCTTTATTAGCATGATTGGGATGCTGTCAGGGCCTGTTAATCACTATTATGAACCTTTTTATCCGCCCATTCCCACTCTCGTTGTCAAAATAGAGCCACTGCACTAAGTGGTCCATCCTCATTTGATGAGGTGCATGCACTGCTTTCTTGGTGTTAAAGTTTTTCTGTCATCATTGTTTTTATATATTTCCTTATCTCATCCCCTTTTAGTGAGACCCCTTGAAGTGAAGGTATAAACCTCTGTTCCATGCTGGTCTTATTACTCAGAGAATCGATATGGTTCCAAAACTTTTCAGCTGTCTTTCTGTCCTTTTTGTTTACTTCCACCTGTCATTGATCCCCCTTTCTTCTAATCTTTTCACTGATGAGATCGGACGCTTTTCTTCTCCAGCTGAAAAAGTTACCACAGTTTCTTTTGAAATCATCTTCTGGTTCACCTCTCTGTTTAGCATACCTGTGCTCCTTGGAAGCATCCGGATGTCTTGATGTGGCCCTGTAACTACCTCATCCCACCTGCTGTTGCGTTTGTGTCTCCTTTTTCCGGTCGATTTGGCTCATACCTTAGTAAGCTCTAACTGAAACAATCGAGTTAGATTCATGCGCGTCCACCCTGTTCTAGTATCCTCGGTTATTATTTTCTCAGTCTGTTTAGTTGCCGTTTCTATTTGCCTTTCTGAATAAATATTGTCATGTGGTTGCTCGTAATGCTTCTTTTTCATTTGCATTTCTCTTCCAAAGCTCAGCTTGATGCGTCTGTGATCCCTGCCTAAGCTTCTGCACCCATATTCATCAATGTTCATCACCCTTAGCCGATCATGCGTCAATTGTGACATCAATGCGAATCGTCGACTGCAGCGTTCTTCCCTCCCATGTTATCTGCCCTTCGCATTTATCGGTGCTGTTGCAAATGAGTAAATTATACCTTTCACACAAATCCATTAGCATTCTGCCTGTTGGGTCAGTATATTCATCCATATCTTCTATTTGCGCGTTCATATCTCTCAATATATTTACCTCGCACTATTCTTCTAGTTCGTCAATGTCATTTTCTATGCACTGCACCACTTCTTGGTTTTCCTCACTGGCTTTTGCCCCTGTCCAAAAGTATAATATACCCAGGAGCACATTCTGCCCTGCAATTTGCGTTTTAGCCATAAATGTTCTCCGCACTCCGGCTTGACTCTTTGCTAATCTGTACTTTTATCAATGAATGCCCCAATACCACCTCCCTTCTGCTGTCTTCTGTTCTATTACAGTATTCTCATGCGTAGTTCAGATTTTCAGGTGGTTCAGGTGTTAGGTGTTAGGCAGACGCGGGAAGCGTCGTTTGCTTGCGCGCTTGCGCTCGCGGCTCAGTGTATCAGTGCATAGCTGAGATGCACTCACTAAACGAGACGGCAAATTGTTACGATGAGTAGTCGCTAAGCCAGTCAGGTCGCTTTGGGAGAGAGACTACGCCGCGATAGTTCAACAAAGCTGTCCGCAAGCACTAAACAGGTTCGCTTTTACTCTTTCAACTTCACACGAGAGGCTAGAAACACTATATGTGGGAACATGGCATACAATATGTGGTAATAAAAAAACATGCAGGGGCAGCTTTCCATGTTAAAAAAAATTAAAAAGTAGAAACGGGAAATCTTGAAAAATCTTTTTCTCATGTCTGCTCTCTTCCCGAAACTGGTTTTACATTAGAATTTCCTAATAACCAATCGTTCAAGCCAAGCTACAACAACGAAACACGTAAAGCTGAGAATCGCTCTTTTTTCGTGATGTAGCTTACCTGGAAGTTTGGAGGTGGGTAAAATATTCGCCGAAGACTTCTGACGAGTATCCTCTACCTTCGCTCGTTTGGCGCTGCTTTCATTCGCAAGTTCAGTGATATTCCGGCAAGTTGTTGGCTTCATTCCTGGTAAGCAGTGAGTAAAACTAATCCTCAAAAACATAAGGCGTTGCTTCAATGAGTCACAAGATCTTTGGCTGGTCAGGGATGCCTGTAAATTTCAACTTAGCGTAGTGTCACGCTTGCCGACCGTTTCGCTGCGAAAATAATTTTTAATGACCCAGTCGCTTCTCTTTCATTGCCTATCTCCTCTTCATATAACCCTCGCCCATCCTTGATACTTTTCTTGGTCAGGAGAAGCGTTAAAAAGCCAGTTATTTCGACGCAGAAATAATTCACAGCTCGAGGCAGTCTCTGCTCTTCTGTTCAAATGAATTGCCGTCTGTTGAAACGTTCTTGTTCAATGTAGTAGTAGTAGTAGTACTTTTATTTAGAGTAAGCCGGATACAGAGCTCACTGCGGGGGCAAAGGGCTAAAGGCGAACAGCCTGAAAAAGGCCCTTGTCCCTCCGCAGTCCGTGACAGTGCAAAGCTTAGACATCAGCACTGGCAAACAATATATATATTCAATACATTGGTTTCAAGCAACCTGCAATTGTACACACAAAATTCAAACATAAATAGCATAAGAAGTTTACATAACACATTTTAAGAATTAGAGGTCACTCTCGTAAAAATTCACAACTAAACGATATCAATGAAAAAACTCAAAAACAGACACAA